GCCGATTTGGCTTCTCATACGTTGTGCATTTTTAAAAATGTATTTATATCTTGCCTTCATTATTTTTGCGTATAACTCAAGGCGGCGAGCATACCTAATACTCCTTCCTCCTCCTCTTTGTCCCACAACAACCCTGGGAAGTGAGTTGGACCAGGGAGTGGGTTCTACTACCTTACTACTGGTAGTAAATTGCAAACCGGTAGTAAAGTACTAGTAGTACCTTACTATCGGTAGTAAATTGGAAACAGGTAGTAAAGTACTAGTAGTACTTTACTACCGGTTTGCAACGGGGCCACGCGGACTCGCTTTGCTCTCTCTCACGCTCTTTTGCGCATGCACAGAAGCGTTCTGATGACGTCAGGGTCGGTGGGCGGAGCCTCCTGCCGGTTTTACTACCAGTTCTATAGAACTGGTCCAAACCGGGGGCAACCCACCACTGGGTTGGACTGAGAAAAAGTGACTGGCTCAACGTCACCTAGTTGATTTTCATGGTTAATCCGAGACTAGAACTCACCATCTCCTGGTGATTGACTGCAAATCACCCAGCCTACTTTCATGCTTAGAACTCACCATCTCCTGGTGATTGGCCCATAATCACCCAGCCCTCTTTCATTCCTAAGGCGGGACTAGAACTCACCATCTCCTGGTGATTGGCCCATAATTACCCAGCCCTCTTTCATTCCTAAGGCGGGACTAGAACTCACCATCTCCTGGTGATTGACCCATAATCACCCAGCCCTCTTTCATTCCTAAGGCGGGACTAGAACTCACCGTCTCCTGGTGATTGACCCATAATCACCCAGCCCTCTTTCATTCCTAAGGCGGGACTAGAACTCACCATCTCCTGGTGATTGACCCATAATCACCCAGCCCTCTTTCATTCCTAAGGTGGGACTAGAACTCACCGTCTCCTGGTGATTGACCCATAATCACCCAGCCCTCTTTCATTCCTAAGGCGGGACTAGAACTCACCATCTCCTGGTGATTGGTCCAAAGTTACCCAACTGGCTTTCATGCCAGAAGGTAAAACTAGAACTCACTGCTTCCTGGTGATTGGCCCATAATCACCCAGCCCACTTTCTTGCCTAAGGTGGGACTAGAACTCACCATCTCCTGGTGATTGGCCCATAATCACCCAGCCTTCTTTCATTCCTAAAGCGGGACTAGAACTCTCAGACTCCTGCTGATTGGTCCAAAGTTACCCAACTGGCTTTCATGCCTAAGGTAGGACTAGAATTCACTATCTCCTTGTGATTGGCCAAGGTCACCTAGCTGGCTTTCGTGACTAAGGCAGAATTAGAACTCATGATCTTTTGCTTTCTAGCCTGGCGCCTTCACCACTAGATCAAACTGATCTATTTATTACGCAAAGCCGGCCAATGAGTGGATGACCTGTACAGGTTAGATTAGTGTTTTACAAAATGGAGGTAACGCTTTGAGAGTTGTTGGTCTACATCAGTAGTTAGTTTCAAATCCCGTCGCTACTCGTTTGCTCGTGTGTGTGCGATGCTTCTGTGCATGTGCAGAGAATGTCCAGGCGGGTAGGCGGAGCCTCCCCAGCCGCCTGCTACCACCAATAGCCTCCCACCGGCCGGTACGCTCCCATAGAGAGGGGCTCCTCCGGGTGCCGTCGGCCAAACAATGTCGACTGGCGGCCCCCAGGGGGAGAGCCTTCTCTGTGGGGGCACCCACTATCTGGAACGAGCTCCCCCCAGAGATACGGAGGATCCCGGATCTGCGCACCTTCCTCCGCGCGCTTAAGACTTTTTTATTTCATCAAGCTGGCCTGGCCTAAATCTTCTCCCCTTTTTAAATGCAAATTTTAGTATATGGTGACAGCAGCGAGATTATTGATAGGTCAATATTGGAAAAATGAAGCTATGCCCACTATTGAAGAATGGACTTTGAAGATGGCCAGTTTTGCAGAGATGGCGAAGATTTCAGCATATTTAAAAGACCGAACTCAAGAGTCTTATGTATGGGAGTGGAAAAAGTGGATAGATTATGTGCAGAATAAATATCAAACTAGGAAATATCAGATAGCTTTTAGCTGAATGAATGTATTATGTAGGGATAGATTAATTGAGTTTTATGAAGGAATAAATAGTATACAGGGGACGGAGGGGTTTAAGTTTCATAAAATGTATTTTTGATTAGGATTTTATTTTGTGGAAGTCCTGGGGGGGAAAAGGGGAGGGCTAGGGAGGGTATGGGGGGTTGGGGGGGGAATTGGGAAGAAAATGTATTTGCAAATTTTAATCTGTTTTTAAATTATGGGGTATTTTAAATTTGTTCAGCCAAATTATTTAATTCGTTTTTATTCTATTTTAAATTTTTGTATTTATGTGTTTTATCCTCTGGCTGTTCACCGCCCTGAGTCCTTTGGGAGTAGGGCGGTATAGAAATGTAATAAAATAAAATAAATAAATAAAAAATATACAATAATACATTATTAACACACCTGAAGAAATAATGGATGGAAACTGACCAAGGAGAGATTCAACCTGGAAATAAGGAGGAACTTTCTGACAGGGAGAGCAATCAACCCATGGAAGAGAAGTTGTGGGAGCTTCATCACTGGAGTCTTCCAAGAAGAGACTGGACTGCCATCTGTCAGAAATGGTGTAGGGATTCCTGCTTGGGCGAGGGGTTGGACTAGATGACCTACAAGATCCCTTCCAACTCTGTTAATCTGTAACCAAGATGATCAGGGGACTGAAAGCTAAAAACATACGATGAATGGTTGTAGGAACTGGGTGTGGCTAGTCTAGTGAAGAGAAGGACCAGGGGAGACACAATAGCAATGTTCCAATATTTGAGGGGCTGCCCCAGAGAGGAGGGGGTCAAGCTATTTTCCAAAGCACCCGAAGGTAAGACAAGGAATAATGTATGGAAGGAGAGATTCAACCTGGAAATAAGGAGGAATTTCCTGACAGGGAGAACAATCAACCCATGGAACAGAAGTTGCCTTCAGAAGTTGTGGAACCTTCATCACTGGAGGCTTCCAAGAAGAGACAGGACTGCCATCTTTCAGAAATGGTGTAGGCTCTCCTGCTTGGATGGATGGGCTGGACTAGATGACCTCCAAGGTTCCCTCCAGCTGGATTTCTCTTCTTGATTCTCTGGTTCTCAAAAGTCTGAATTTTCCTCCTTCGTTCAATTTCCTGGCCAGCGTCCACCAGCTTGGATGGTTCGTAAATACAGACCCACTCGCAGGATTTTGTGGCTGCTAAAAAAAATAAATCAATCAATAAATACACAAAGAGCCTTCATTTTGACTGATACTGAATCTGAGTTAGTCTTAATTGGCTGTCATTCTCATCACCTACTTATTTGTCCCGAGTCCACCTCCTACTTGATGTGTGGTCCAACCTCTAAGCCCAAATCAATATTTTACCCAGATTTTTTTTTAAAAAAAAAATCAATGTTTGCAAATATTTTAACACGCTGTTGCTTAATAGCATATGTTTTCCTTGCTTTATTTAATCTTCCTTGTGTTCTGCAGTGTTTACTGAAAATCAGTAGAGGCTTCTGTCTGCGAACAAGGCTGAATTTATAAACGGCAAAGGAAGAAACCGAGAAGCTTTTAATGGGATAATTTTGCACGCTTGAAGGGCTGCGCTTGTAGATACTGTTTGACCATATGTTGTACAAGTTCATTCGATGTGTAGGAATAACAGAATAACTCACCAACTCCTAGAGATGAAAAGGACTTTTGAGGTCTTCTACTCCAATCGCCTGCTGAAGCAAGAAACCCTATACCACTTCAGACAAATGGTTGTCTGATCTCTTCTTTAACAGATTAACAGAGTTGGAAGGGACCTTGAAGGTCATCTAGTCCAACCCCCCACCCAGCGAGGAGACCCTACACCATTTCTGACAAATGGCAGTCCAGTCTCTTCTTGGAAGCCTCCAGTGATGAAGGTTCCACAACTTCTGAAGGCAACTTCTGTTCCAGGGGTTGGTGGTTCCCACTCTCCTTATTTCCAGGTTGAATCTCTCCTTGGTCAGTTTCCATCCATTATTCCTTGTCTGGCCTTCGGGTGCTTTGGAAAATAGCTTGACCCCCTTCCTCCTCTCTGGGGCAGCCCCTCAAATATTGGCACATTGCTATCGTGTCTCCCCTGGTTCTTCTCTTCACTAGACTAGCCATGCCCAGTTCCTGCAACCGTTCATCATATGTTTTAGCCAGTGGTGAAATCCAAATTTTTTTACTACCAGTTCTGCGGGGGTGTGGCTTGTTGGGCGTGGTGTGGCTTGTTGGGCATGGCAGGGGAAGGATATTGCAAAATCTCCATTCCCACCCCACTCGGGGGCCAGCCAGAGATGGTATTTCTCGGTTCTCCGAACTATTCGTAATTACCGCTACCGGTTCTCCAGAACCTGTCAGGACCTGCTGGATTTCCCCCCTGGTTGTAGCCTCCAGTCCCCTAATCCTCTTGGTTGCTCTTCTCTGCACTCTTTCTAGAGTCTCAACCTCTTTTTTATAGTGCGGTGACCAAAACTGGATGCAATACTCTAGGTGTGGTCTTACTAAGGCTTTATAGAGCGGTATTAGTACCTCCCGTGATCTTGATTGCATCCCTCTGTTCATGCAACTTAGGAGTGCATTGGCTTTTTTGGCTGCTGTAGCACACTTTTGGCTCATATTTAATTGGTTGTCCATTAATTCACACTCAAATAACTGTGATGGATATCCATCTATCACTTTGATAGAGAGCTATTCCTCCAGGTTTAAGCCCTCTCTCAAAACCCACCGTGGGCATCCTTCCCGGATTTCCCAGACAAATCGATGACAGATTTTGGTCCAAGCAAAATAAAAGTATGCTTCTTTCTCTTTTTGGACCTGGTCACCATTTTTTGTTTTGTTTTTTTTAAAGAATAAAACATCCCCCATTCTTCCAGTTGCTCCTAAACCTAGACAGCTTCTCTGGCACAAGCGGAGAATTTTTAGAAAATGATGTTTTGACAATGATTGTTTGTCTGTTTCCGTTAGGAGGATGGAGGCCTCGTGCTTGGAATTAGCTCTGGAAGGGGAGCGGGCGTGCAAGGCAGGAGATTTCCCTTCCGGAGCCGCCTTCTTCGAACACGCAGTCCAGGTGGGGACGGAGGATCTGAAGACCCTCAGCGCCATTTACAGCCAACTGGGCAATGCCTACTTCTATCTGAAGGACTATGCCAAAGCTTTGGAGTACCATAAGCACGATCTCACGCTGGCCAGGTAAGGGTTCTGCAGCCATAACTGGGCCTTCTGGAGACATGAAGGAGGAACCGAGTTTGGGGGCTGCTGCAACCAGCGATGAAATTCAAAATTTTTCCGTACCAACCGGGTTCAAGGGACCTTGTAGGTCATCTAGTCCATGGTTTAGCTGAGGGAGGAATTCTGGGAGTTGAAGTCCACAAGTCGTAAAGTTACCAGGGTTGGAGACCCTGGCTTTAAGAGGTAAAAAAAAAAAAGCCTTAATTTCATGCCTTAAATATCATCGCCCCCTCATAAAAATATGGAACTGCTGAGAGAAAAGCCAACATTTTCAATTTTATTTATTTATTTATTTATTTATTTATTTATTTATTTATTTATTTTATTTTAAATTTATATACCGCCCTTCTCCCTGAGGACTCAGGGTGGTGTACAGCCAGAATTAAAAAACATAAAATACAAATATTAAAAACAATTAATATATATATAAATTTGGCCCAAAATTAAAAATACAAACCAATTAAAACATTTAAAATTTCTTCTTAAGCCAGCCCGGCTTGCTGGAAAAAGTGGGTTTTAAGGGCATGGCGGAAGGCACTAAGGTCTTGGATTCTCCTTATCTCTGGGGGCAACTGATTCCAGAGGGTAGGTGCCCCCACAGAGAAGGCCCTCCCCCTGGGGGTCACCAGCCTGCAATTCTTCTCCCTTGGATGGTATTTGCCAAGATACCATCCCTACTCACAGCCAGGAGTGGGATTCAAAAATTTTAGCAACAGATGTTTGTCTGGTTGCTGGGTGGGCGTGGCCATGGTGGGCGTGGCCTACTTGGCTTCCTGCACTACGGCGGTGGGGTGTGTGTGTCATTTTCGCCCTCCCCAAGCTCCGGAGGCTTTTCTCGAGCCTTTGGGAGGGCAAAAATGGCCTCTTCTGGCCTCAGGAGGCCCTTCGGAGTCCGGAAACGGGCCCATTTCCAAACTTCCGGAACATCCTGGAGGCCCTTTTTTGCCCTCCCAGAGCCTCCACATGGGTGCTGCACTTACCTGGCATCCAAAATGGGCCGCCTGGAGAATCCTAGGAGGAGCTGGGTGGGGTGGGTGCGGCCAGCCAGTTCTTGCAACTACCAGTTCAGTGAACCGGATGTAAAATTAGCATCCAACGCCCGAACCGATCTGAACCGGCTGAAGCCCACCCCTGCTCTCAGCCCCTGAGCAAGGTCGAAGGAGGAAATGCAGCGCCCAATCTGAAAACACTCCCCCCCCATCCCACCCCAGTCATTCCTCACTTCCACCTGGCTTCCTTCCAAGAGAAACTCCCAGCATCTTTTCCCAATGCCCGCAGAACCATCGGGGATCGGATCGGAGAGGGCAAAGCCAGCGGCAATCTTGGCAACACGCTGAAAATCCTGGGTCAGTTCGACGAAGCCTTGGTTTGTTGCCAGAGGCATCTGGACATCTCGCAGGAGCAAGGAGACAAGGTAGGAAGTTGACCCTTCAGTGACCATCCACCCTCTCTGACCAGGGAAACAGGAGGATTAAGTGGGGAAGAGTGGAAAGGAGATACCCCCTCAGCCTTGCATAGTTGCAGGGTGGTGCAATGGTGAAATCTAAAATTTGTTACTACCGGTTCTGTGGGCGTGGCTTGGGGGGGGTAATGTGACTGGGTGGGCATGGCCAATTTTTTTTTTTTTTACTTTTAAAACCACTTTTTCTACAACCTCTTCGGCGAAGAGGTTGTAAAAAAATGCTTCCAAAAGGCTCTGACAATCCCAGCTGAGTTGCCTGATCGGCAGAGGCTTTTAAAAAAACCTCTGCAGATCAGGCAACTCAGCTGGGATCGTCAGAGGCATTTAAAAGAAAAAAAAGGTTTTTTTTTCTTTTAAAAGCCTTTGAGGATCCCAGCTGAGCCGCGCGATCATCAGAGGCTTTTTTTTTTATTTTTAAAAGCATTTTTCGGCCGAAGAGGTTGTAGAAAAAATGCTTTTAAAAGTAAAAAAAAAACAAAACCCTGATGATTGTGCGGCTCAGCTGGGCATGGGGGGGGGCAGGGATTTTTGCTACTGGTTCCCCGAACCACCCGACTCCATCGCTACTGGATTGGGTGATCCGGTCCGAATCGGGAGCATTTCACTCCTGGGGTGGTGACTTTTAACCCTCTTGAACATTGGCAAGTCTGGGGGTGGGGGGCTTGAGCAATTGCACACTCAATGTGCTGCAAAGAAGATGCTTTCCACATTGCTTCAATTGTTAACCCGGTATCTTTATTAGGCTTGTTTTAGTGGGAAAACTGAGCAGCTGAGGGGAAAGTTCCAGGGCAGAAAAACACTGCAAAGAGAAATTGGAAAGCATCTTAAGCAGAGGTGGGCGTCACACACTGTAACAACCAGTTCACTCACCAAGCGGAAACGTGAGTGCGCGCCGTCCATGCATGCATGCGGCATAAAAAAACATGCAATTCGCTCACGTGTGCCATCCACACATGTGTGCGGCATAAAAAAACCACAGCAATTCGATATAGGACGGGATTGTGCCTGATGCAGTGGAGACAGATTGCTTAATTCCCATGGTTTTTGGGAAGATGACATGGCTTTCCTTCTGAGGGTCTAAATTTCTGAATGCAGCTTTGGATGAGGGAGTAGAGTCCTCCCCATCCCGATACCAGTTGTTAGGTCTGCCATGCATCCTGCCATAAAAGGCTAAGGGAGAGGAGGGAGACATGGGGTCAGTGGTTGGTTCCTCCCGGTTTGGCCCGGTTCGGCTGAGCCGGTAGCGGTGATGATATGATGTCACCGAACTGGTTCTCTTTGTTCGGGAGCTGGGCCCCCCCACCCCTGCGTTATTCTTACCTTTTATTTGGCCCTGCCCCCAATCTATTTGCTGTCTCTCGAGTCCCAGCTGATCAGCTAGAAGGAAAAAAACTCTTTAAACTCTTGCCGCAGGGCTTCAAAGGGCCGCCCTACGGCTGATCAATGTTAAAAGGCAGTGTGGTGGTAGACCAGGATGCTCTAAGAACAAATGGGTAGACCGGTGCCTCCAAAAACAAATGAGTGGACCGGTGCCTCCAAAAACAAATAGGTATACCGGAATGCTCCAAAAAGAAATAGGTAGACCGGTACATCTCTGCAAGCAGTTAAAAGCCTGATAGACCAGTACCCCTGCTAAATCCTAAAGAATTGTCACATCAAACCATGCCCACAAAATAAGCCACACCCACAGAACCAGTAGTAAAAAAATTTAGAACCCACCCCTACATGGGGTGGAGCAAAATGGGCAATCAAACAGCATGTGTACGTGATGGGGAAGGGGGAAGGGGGAAAGATAGTTTAATGAAGAGCAGAAGAGCTCGGAACCAGCTTGTGCCAGCGATCAAGGCCGTGCACCCTGAGAAAGAATGTGAACTACCCTAAACATCACAACATTCCCAAAACATCAGAGTCTTATTGGCTGACGATGGACTGGTTGTGGGAAGAGGACTGGGATGTGGGGGAAACTTTCTGTATTGTTTTGAGCATGGTAAATTCGGTTCTAGCCAGACTTTGCTGCAGCCAGCATCTTTTAGTAAAAGAACCTATCACTTCCACCAAATGGGAGTCGAGGGTTTTTCTTTCCTAAGGGATCAGACAGGGGCAGGTCTGACACAAGTACCTGCACCGTGATAGGACTTTGAATGCGGCAATCATTGGAAGGACCCCTCCTCCCATGAGCTCTTTTCTTTTTTCTTTTTGATAGGTGGGGGAGGCCCGAGCTCTGTATAACATCGGCAATGTCTACCATGCCAAAGGCAAGGAGGCATTGTGGACCCTGCCCCAGGAGGAACCAGGCCAGCTTCCCCAGGAGATTCAGGAGGCTCTGAAAAAGGCATCCGAATTTTACAAGTGAGTGAGTGGTCTTCTCCAGGTGGAGAGGAGTGTGGGGGGGTGTCGCATTGAGGCCCCACAATATTCAGGGTGCTCCTTAGTGTTGTGGCTCCGTTGCCTGAGCCTGGGCTATCGACAGATGCAGACTCTGAGAGTGAGGAAGAGGAGTTGGCAAGGCTTCCCTCTCCAGGACCCTTCTCTCTGACAATGCCTCCGAAGGACACTGAAGGCCAAGAGCTAGGCTCAGAGCCAAGCATGTCCCCGCAGCCACAGGTGGACAGCGACGAAGGAGATAAGTGCTGGCTGGACCCTCGCCAGAGGCGCAGGGAGAAGCGTGTGCAGCAGAGGGGAAGGCGTGCCAGAGATTAGCTGAGTCACTGGACCACACCCCACAAGGTATAAATGTGGGTGTGGTGGCCGGTTCAGTTTGTGACGAGCAAAAACTAGAAATAATCCATGATCTCTGCGTTACTGGACTGTGCCTACTTTATCGGACTGCATTTGGATTAATCCTTGTATTGTTGAAAACTCTGCTGTTTTATCGGAATGCTGGCAGTCTAATCTTTGTTTTGTGTGAGTAAAGTCTGAATTGGCAGCTAGCCACTGGGTTGCTGCCAGCTTTATTTTCAAAGAATTTTGTCATGTGGCTTGTTAACTCCGGGCCGTCTGTGGGGGTGCGTGAGTGGAACGGGGACAGAACACTTGTGCACTCACAATCTCTCCAGGGTTGCAAAGAGAGCCAAGCAAAGCTGAGACTGGGGCTTCTCAAACTTTTCCCTTCATTATCCAAAATCGGAAACTCTTATCACACTTTGTCATAAGTCCTTTCCTTCAGCACGGTCATAACTTTTTTTTTTAAACAATTTTTTTTAATTTTTCCAATAAAAAACTCTTAAACATAAAATATATCTTTTGAGAGCAAAGGTTTGATCCGGTCATAAGTTAGTACAATTGCTCGCACTTCTTTAACACATTTGATTCCAAGTTTCATCCGTTTACATCTTTAAAATAAAAGTCAAACCACAAATTTTTTATCACAAATTCTAACATCTTAATCTAAACATTTTACATTCTATCGTATCACCGTAAATCTTAATTCCCAAACAGACACAGCTCATTTTTATATACCATCTTTAGTTTCCAAATAAACACAATTCTAATTTTTATATCATTTTACAAATCAAAATTCCGTATATATTCCTTAATCTCAAAACCCATTTCATCAAATATCTATCTTGATCTCTATTGATATACATCTAATTTTCTTAGGCTTATCACCAATTACACTTCTCGTTTTACATAAAATCATTTCAAAATCAGTTCACATCATTTAATTATCATTCATTATCTTCTTTTTTCACCCCAATTAATTTCCAACAGCCTAAAGATAAAAATGTTGGAAATTAGCACGGTCATAACTTTGAATGGCTGCTGAAAGAAGGGCCATAACTCGAGGACCACCTGTGTTATAAAAAGAATATCATTGGATGATTTTTTTTAATGTCATTTCACACTATCGTTGGAATACTTTGGGAGAATTTTGAACATACCTAGATACCTGTGCCAACCTTTAAGTCAATTTACATGGCCCTGTTTGTGATAGGTAATGGGTTTGTGTGGAAAAATCACTTTTACCCAATTTTGGTGTAAAATTGTTTTGGGAATTATGGCCAGGTTGGAGCTTCCGATCTCCAGGAATATTGAGAGGTGGAAAGTCTTGCTCTTCCCTTTAAAAAAAAAAAAAAAAGTTTTTATAAAGATTGTTTTTTTTACAGAATAACGGCAATAGAAGCTTAGAAAAAATGTGTGAAACGGTAATAGGAAAAAAAAAGAGAAACAGTTTTCGATCTTCTTTATGGCAGTTATGAATATGAATGTGTGTTTGTGTAGTAAAAATTTGTAGTAGTTTGGACAACCGGTAATAACATTGGCTGGCCACGCCCCTGAACCGGTCCCCGGCCCGGTCTCCGCTCGCTTACTCCGCCCACCTCATCAGAGGGGTTTTATTTTTTTACTTTTAAAAGCATTTTTTCTCCAACCTCTTCGGCCAAAAAAATGCTTTTAAAAGTAAAAAAAAAAGCCTCTGATGATTGCGCGGCTCAGTTGGGATCGTCAGAGGCTTTTAAAAGCATTTTAAAGGTTATAGGAAAAGAGGTTGTAGGAAAAAAACAATGCCTTTAAAAGCCTCTGGCGATTCCAGCTGACTTGCCTGATCATCAGAGGCTTCTAAAAGCATTTTTTTCTGCAACCTCTTAAGGTTGTAGAAAAAATGCTTTTAAAAGTAAAAAAAAAAAATAAAAAGTTGGCCACACCCACCCAGTCACATTACCCCACCAAGCCACGCCCACAAAATAAGCCACGCCCACAGAACCGGTAGTAAAAATATTTAGAACCCACCCCTGGTGTGCATGTGAGTGGGAGAATCCATAAAAGATTTCCAGTCACCAATAAAGTTAGCTATTGTCTTCTTGCTGGTATTCTTGGGAATACAAGAAGTTTATTTATTTATTTTATTTATTTATTTTATTTTTAAAATTTTTATACCGCCTCCTCTCCCGAAGGACTCGGGGCGGTGAACAGCCAAAATTAAAAACACACAGTACAAATATTAAAATACATTAAAACGAAATTAAATTTATCTTTGGCTTCCCCAATTTAAAACCCCTTACCCATAAAATTCCCCAATTAAAATATTTTTAACCCAGCCTGGCTTGCTGAAATAAAAAAGTCTTCAGGGCCCGGCGGAAGGTCCGGAGGTCCGGGATCAGTCGTATCCCTGGGGGTAGCTCATTCCAGAGGGCGGGTGCCCCCACAGAGAAGGCTTTTCCCCGGGGGGTCGCCAGCCGACATTGCCTGACAGACGGCACCCTGAGGAGGCCCTCTCTGTGGGAGCGTGTTGGCCGGTGGGAGGTTATCGGAGGCAGAAGGTGGTCTCATAAATAACCGGGCCCTAAGCCATGGAGCGCTTTGAAGATGAGAACCAATACCTTGAAGCGCACCCGGAAGACCACTGGAAGCCAATGCAGCTCACGCAGGAGAGGTGTCACGTGGGAGCGCCATGTCGCCCCCATAACCACCCGCGTGGCCGCATTCTGCACCAGTTGGAGCCTCCGGGTGCTCCTCAAGGGGAGCCTCATGTAGGGTGAGAAGTTGGTGAGAACTCTCTTGGCAGGTCTGCCTCCCCTTCTCAACCACTTCAGGTGGTTAGATTTGACTTGGCTTCTTTCTGTACCTTTGCCTCACGTTGAGAAGTTGCGAGAATGAATTCACCTCACAGCCTTTCTACCCACACCCCACCCAAACTTTCCATCTCCGTTATTAGTGTAATGATGTTCTTCAGTGGATTATTTACCTGTGTTGCTCCTTAAAAAAAAAAAAAAGCCTCAGCAGCAGGTAATTTTGGCTTGCCTTGTCTGGCTTTGGAACGTCATCCCATTACAGTTGGGAGAGGAGACCACAAGGAAATCTCACGGCGCGTTTTAAACATCCTAAATGAGCCACGGTGGCAGAGCGGTTAGAGTGCAGCACTGCAGGTTCCTTATTCTGCTGCCTGCCGGCTGCCTGCAATTTGGCAGTTCGAATTTCACCAGGCTCAAGGTTGACTCAGCCTTCTGTCCTTCTGAGGTGGGTAAAATGAGGACCCAGATTGTTGGGGGCAAAAGGCTGACTCTGTAACCCACTTAGAGAGCTGGAAAGCATTGTGAAGCGGTATATAAGTCTAAGTGCTATTTCTATCTATCTATCTATCTATCTATCTATCTATCTATCTATCTATCTATCATCTATCTATTATCTATCTATCTATCTATCTATCTATCTATCTATATCTATCTATCTATCTATCTATCTATCTATCTATATCATCTCTCTCTCTCTATCTATCTCTCTATCTATTTCTCTATCTTTCCATCTCTCTATCATCTTTCTATCAATCACCTGTCTATCTATCATCTGTCTGTCTGTCTATCTATCTATCTATCTATCTATCTATCTATCTATCTATCTATCATCTATCAATCATCTATCTATCTATCTATCTATCTATCTATCTATCTATCTATCTATCTTGATGGTGGAGTGGTCAGAATGCAGTATTGCAGGCTAATTCTGCTGACCACCAGCAGTTTGATTCTGACCGGCTCAAGGTTGACTCAGCCTTCCATCCTTCCGAAGTCGGTAAAGTGAGGACCCAGATTGTTGGGGGCAAGAGGCTGACTCTGTAAACCGCTTTGAGAGGGCTGTATAAGCACTGTAAAGCGGTATATAAGTCTAAGTGCTATTGCTAAATGTGCCTCTGGAGGGCAGGATCTGAAACCGAACTTCCAGACAAAAGCCTGAGTTTTTAACAGGAAAAGGGAGAAGTGATAAGTGAGGAAATGGAAGAGTGGCAATCAATGATACTTTTCAAGAACGTGCGATTTTCCTATTTGAAATGGCTTTCTGGGCCTTTTCTCGAGCATTAAGGACTGTTTTTTTTTTTTCTGGCTTACCTGTAGGAAGAACCTTTCCCTCGTGAAGGAGTTAGCTGACAGAGCTGCGCAGGGCCGGGCTTACGGAAACCTTGGCAATGCCCACTACCTGATGGGCAACTTCAGCAAAGCGATCGTCTTCCATAAGCAGGTGAAACACGAGGTCAAGGTGGGATGTCTCCTTTCTGAGGAATTGTAGAGATCTACTGCATTTGGGAGGAGGGAAATGAAAATCAGGGCCCTGCAGACCCTTATGAAGATACGTTGGGGGCCACACTTAAAAGATTTATTACAGCAATGTTGTCAAGTTCGAAGCGTGCTTGCCAATGAACCAGAGGGGAAGGAAGAGGAATTGGAATGCAGGCTCCAGACATCGCCCGAAACAACCTGTGGGAACCAAGGACACTTCTGCAGGTGTTTGCCGAAGCTTAAAGATATTTTCCCATAACAATATACCGGCACTCAATTGGACAATGTGCACTAATCAAGAGAGGGGGATATCGGATCGTCTCGGCAGTGCTTGCTTGCTTGGGTTCATCAGTCAGAATCTTGATAAATATCTACAAACCTTACCAATAATTTAACTATTAACCATTAATTGGGTCCAATTCTACTGATCACTGCAGTGACTAACGATGGAAATTCCAGCCCCAATTCAGATCGTAAGTCAAGAACTATGTGTAAATAAAACTGGGTGGGAATTTTGGGGGGGGCCTGAATGTTGAACAAAGTGTTGTGGCTCTGTTACCTGAGCCTGTGTCATCGGCAGGAGAGGACTCCGAGAGTGAAGGAGAGGAGTTGGCAAGGCCTCCCTCTCCAGGACCCTCCTCTCTGGCAATGCCTTCGGTGTCCACCGAAGGGCAAGAGATAGGGTCGGGGCCAAGCATGTCCACGCAGCCACAGATGGACAGTGATGAGGGTAATGAATCTTGGCTGGATCCTCGGCAGCGTCGCAGAGATAAGCGCGTGCAGCAGAAGAAGAGGCGTGCCAGAGATTAGGCTGAGTCACTGGACCACCCCCCACAGGGTATAAAAGGGGGTGAGGTGTCCATTCAGACTCTGTGACGGACAAAACTAACTACTATTGAGTCACATTGCATCTTTGGAAACAACATTATCGGCCTTGGATTTATTTTACGAACTGGACAATTCTTGACTGTGGGTATTTTGTTTATTGAGTAAAAGTTCTTGGCAAGCAGCTACTGGGTTGCTGCCAAGCGTCTTATCAGAAGAATTGGTTGTCTGCCAGTTTATTTAACCCCCGGCTGTCTGTTTGTGTGCATGTGTGGGACGGGGACAGAACACAAAGTAATAAGCATGCCAAAGTGCTTTTTGGAACTCCTTGGTTGCCAAATGTACTGTCAGCGTTCCAAGTAATGCACCCATAAAAAGCAGAACTCTGAGGCAGGCAAATTCCTCAAAGAACAATTTATTGGATACATCCTATTGGCACAACTTGTGAAAGCCGACTCTGAAAGTTCCCGCTGCTTTCACCTAATTAAAAAGTAAATGTTTCCCTTTTCCCCCAAGTCACTGGTCACGCTGTCCAATCAAAGTGTTGGCTGGTTGTTTGGTTACTTCACTCCTCCTCTCCTCAGCCACCTGTTTGAAAGACCTTGGTTCCCACAGGGAAAACATTCTTCTTTTTGGCTACAAAACCCCATCTAACTATTTCCCTCCTCCCACTGTTGTGTGGAAACCCTGAAGCCAGGTTCACTTCAGGATTGACATGTATGTCAGCGGGGAAGACTAGAATGATGGTGACCTAATAGAGGTGATACCCCTTCAGTGACACCCATGACTTTATCCATTTCAGCGGCTGAACATCGCTAAGGAATTTGGAGACAGAGCCGCCGAGAGGAGAGCGTACAGCAATTTGGCCAACGCTCATATCTTCCTGGGAAGCTTCGATATTGCCGCAGAGTATTACAAGTAAGCAGTGGGGAAGCCAGTACCCTCCAGATCTGATCTGTTTGGATTCCTGGCAGTAGATCAGCAAAGGGGTCCTTCCTGTGTCCCCTGAATGGAATGGAATAGAATAGAATATGGAATAGGAATAGGAATAGGAATAGGAATAGGAATAGGAATAGGAATAAGAATAGAATTGTTTTAGAATTAATAGAATCGAATAGAACACAGAACAGGTTACAGAATAAAATAGATTACAAGAAGAATAGACTAGACTAGACTAGACTAGACTAGACTAGACTAGACTAGACTAGACTAGACTAGACTAAAATAAAATAGAACAGGTTACAGAACAGAACAGAACAGAGCAGAATAGAATAGAACACAGAACACAGTACAGGTTACAGAATAAAATAGATTACAAGAAGAATAGAATAGAATAGAGTAGAGTAGAGTAGAGTAGAGTAGAGTAGAGTAGAGTAGAGTAAATAGAATAGAATAGAATAGAATAGAATAGAATAGAATAGAAAACAGAACAGGTTACAGAACAGAACAGAACACAGAACACAGAACAGATTACAGAATAAAATAGATTACAAGGAGAATAGAATAGAATAGAATAGAACAGAACAGAACAGAACAGAATAGATTAGAATAGAATAGAATAGAATAGGGAAAAGAACAGAACACAGAACAGGTTATAGAATAAAATAGATTACAAGGAGAATAGAATAGAATAGAACAGAACAGAACAGAACAGAACAGAACAGAACAGAACAGAATAGAATAGAATTAGAATAGAATAGAATAGAATAGGGAAAAGAACAGAACACAGAACAGATTACGGAATAAAATAGATTACCAGAAGAATCGAATCGAATCAAATCGAATCCAATAGCAATAGCAATAGCAATAGCAAAAAATAGAAGCTTGATGGGACCTTGGAGGTCTTCTAGTCCAGCCCTCTGCTCAAGCAGGAGAACCTAAACCATTTCAGACAAGTGACTGTCCAGTCTCTTCTTAAAAACCTCCAGTGATGAAACATAACTTTCTTAGCGACAGGAGTGCAGAGAATTCATTTTTGTTGTCCAACTATTTTTCCTTGTAATGTGTACGTATTCAAAATACGTATCTCAAAATATTAAACTATTACATAACAGTATTAATGGGATCAAACTCATGTAAACGTTTTCAAAATGTAACAGCTTAGTACACTAAAGAAACATGTCTTTTGATTCTTAGGGCATCTCCAACAATATGATCATTTATTTGTTCCATTTCCACGTAAACATAATAGGATCCAGTATAATCTGACCTGTTATAGTTGTTTTGACCCAATAAGATCCATTGTGTTAAGGATATTGTTGTTGTGTTACCAACCAGCAGAGAGTGTAGAGCACAGAGAAACGTTGCTGAGAGCAATGAATAAGAGATGTGCAAACTGGTTTATCAAAAGCTTACTTTATAGTGACAAAACAATCTCATAGTCTTTAAATCAATCCAAGTCTTTGCCAGTTAAATAAGTCCAGTGATACAGGAATCTTCTTACCACACAAACAGTAGTTGGTTAGAATAACAAACTCACTCTGGTTCACAAACCACGATGGTAGCAGATCCATCCAACGATGATAGCACAATGGTAGCAACTCCACACACTATGGTAGCTTATCATCAACTGAATACGTAACCCTAACCCTAACCATATCCTAACACATTGATTTGTAGGTTTTCATAACCCGGGGGTCTCCAGATATACAAGAATTCTTTCAACCGTTCAACACATCTGGAGTACCCCAGTTTGGGGAAGGTGATCTATCAATACGGGCAGAACATGAGGTGACTTCAGTGTTTAGTTGAAGAATTGTTCCATCTCCCCTCTCTCCTAATTTAGGAAAACCCTCCACCTCTCCAGGCAGCTGAAGGACCAAACCGTGGAAGCCCAGACATGCTACAGTCTTGGAAACACGTACACCCTTCTTGAAGACTACGAGAAGGCTGTGGAATACCACCTGAAGCACCTGGCCATTGCCCAGGAGCTTGGAGACAGGTAAAGAAATATCTATTTTCTGCACTTTTTTGGGGGGAGGGATCTGGTGTTGATCTTGAGGTCTTTTGTTAAAATGACAAACATGAAGTTTAGGAAGTTAGTTCAGTTTACGGTGAACCGGGAAGAACTGTTCAGATCATGCTGGTGAGAAACGAATGGAATGACAGGTGATTTGGTAAGAGATGCTGACTCCTAAGGATAGTAGCTATGTTAGGCTTGGCGTGGCTTAAATTAGCTTGGCTTAAGTTAGCTTGGCTTGAATTAAGTTGGGTTGAGTTGGCTTCACTTCCGTTGAATTAAGTTGGGTTGGGTGCAGTGGTGGGTTCCTCCCGGTTCGGTCCGGTTGAGCCGGTAGCGGTGACGATATGATGTCACCGAACCGGTTCTCCCCCCCCGCCCTCCCACCCCCCCACCCATGTTATTCTTACCTTTTATTTGGTCCCACCCCCAATCTATTGCTGCCTCCTGAGTCCCAGCTGATGACTAGAGGGAAAAAAACTGTTTAAACTCTTGCCGCAGGGCTTCAAAGGGCCGCCCTACAGCTGATCAGTGTTAAAAGCAAACAAATGAGTCGGGTCATAAGTGCAAGGACTGGTCGTAAGTGCGAGGACCTTCCAGAAATGACTCTGACCAGCTAGCCATGCCCACCTAGTCACATGACCTCCAAGACACACCCACAAAATAAGCCACGCCCACAGAACCGGTAGTAAAAAAATGTAGAATCCACCCCTGGTTGGGTGGTGAGGTTTTCGGACACTAAGCTCACCCACAGAGAGAATCAGAATCAAAAGAGAGCTGGAAGGGACCTTAGAGGTCCTCTAGTCCAGCCCCCTGCTCAAGCAGGAGACCTACCCCATTTAAGACAAGGGTCTGCCCAGTCTTTTGTTAAAAACCTCCAGTGATGAAGCACCCACAACGTCTGAAGACAAGCCGTTCCACTGATTAATTGTCCTCACTTTTAGGAAGTTTCTCCTCAATTCCAGGTTGCTTCTCTCCTTGATCAGTTTCCATCCATTGTTTCTTGTCCTGCCCTTTGGGTGCTTTGGAGAATAAATTGACCCCCTCTTCTTTGTGGCAGCCCCTCAAATACTTAACGCATTGTAAGCCGCCCTGAGTCTCTGGAGAAGGGCGGCATATAAATCAAATTAAAAAAAAATAAAATACTGGAACGCTGCTATCATGGCTCCCCTACTCCTTCTTTTCTTTAGACTAGCCAAACTCAAATCCTGTAACCAACCGTTCTTCATATGTCTTATTCTCTGGGCCTTTTAATCATCTTAGTTGCTCTTCTCTGCACTTTTTCCAAAGTCTCAACATCTGTTTTGTAATGTGACCAAAACTGGGTGTAGTATTCTAGATGTGGCCTCACTAACGCTTTATAAAATAGTATTAATACTTCACCTGATTTTGATTCTATGCCTTGGTTTCTACAACCAAGGATTGTATTAGCTTTTTGATTTGCTGTCATTCTTCTTTCTTCTTCCTGGAGCTGTCCCAGCCTCGGCAGCCGCAATGGCTGCTACCCCGCTGCAGGAAAAAGGGCTTTCCTGGATCAACCAGGGACTTTACGGTGTCCCTGGGATCGACAGGATGTGCCCTCCACTACCACAGTCAAAACTAGACTGTGGGGTCCAAAATGGACCGTCCAGCAGCGGGGCTATCGGCGGGGATCCTGGAGCCTCAGAATCTCCCGTCCGTTTCGCCACGACGTCAGCTTCCAGTCTCCCAGTGACTGTTTTTGAGCCAGGTTTCAACTAATTGTATCAAGTATCTAGTCAAGTCTCTACTTAAGTCTGTCCAGCTTTGGATGGTCATTAAGTGAAACTGGGTGCTGCAAATCAAGATAAAATCTGATGCATCAGATGAAACTGGAACCCCTTCCCAAACCTATCCCTGAAATCAAGCACTTTTTTTTCTCAGCCTATCATACTACAAGTCTGTAGAGATTCTACGTCATTCCAGATCATGATTGTCCCAAAGGTTGTTGTGGCCTGCCAGTGGCCTGCGCGGATCGTAACTGATCCGACGCTGAGGAGGCTGGTGTGGGGTCGCGCCAGCAGCCTGAGCAGCCGGCGCTCGCATCAGACAGCGAGGAGGCTGAAGAGGATGTAGTGCCAGAGGCAGAGACTCGGCCTGGGCCTTCAGAACCTCCAGAGGCTTCTTCAAGTGGAGAGAGCGAAGTGGAGGAGCCTCTCCTTAATGCTTGAGCATGCAGGGCTGCCAAAAGGCAGGAGTGGCTACTCAGGAGGAGCAGGTCTCCTTGAGAGTAGGGCTTGAGGATAATTGGCCACTCCCTTAGCCTATTTAAATCACACACAGTTAGTAATTTCTTGCTGGAAACAACGTGTAATTATTACAGAGCATTTTGGAGAGTGAGTGTCTTATCGTATTTTGTTTTCTGGGCTGGTTGCAAACCTTTGCCGGACTTGGTACATTGGTGTGTGTCACAATCCTTGGGAATCCGGAGCTGGGGCAGAACAAAGGTGCTTTTTCAGGAGGCAACTGGACTTTCTTGTTTTTTCTTTTGAAGACGTTTCGCTTCTCATCCAAGGAGCTTCTTCAGCTTTGATAGGACAGTGGAGAATGGAAGGATTTATATTCCTTGCAGACAGCTGGTCATTTGCATCCTTTTAGAGGGTCTCTGAAGCACCTGGAGGTTTCTCTGTGTCCTCAGGATCACCTGAGTATTGCTCCTGGTTCCCATAGACTGCAATTTTTTTCGCTTTGGAACGCCATTCCTATTCCCACCCCATTTAAAGGGTGTTCATCTCACATTGTATAACGAAAAGTTCACTGCAAAGCTTAACCATCTCTGTTCTTTATTTTCTTGTTTTAACCACAAGGTGGCATCACCATCTTTTCTTCTCTTTTTTCCCTGGTAAATTTCCTAGATTTAAATTCAAGGGCCATGCCACCCAGAACAGAAATGTCATGGCAGAACATGACCTGTTGAATGTCTGGCTGTGTTTTCTGTGCATTTGCTGCATTTGCTTCCCCCAAAACCAGACACAACTAACTTCCTGAGGTTTTGTTTTGACTGTCAAACCAGGATGGCTTAGGGATGATGGGGGGTGTTTGTCCTGATATAAGTCACTTATTTATTATAAAACAGTGTTTCTCCACCTCAACAACTTAAGATGTGTGATTTATGCCGGATGGGCAGTAGTGGGTTGCTCCTGGTTCGCACCGGTTCGCAAGAACCAGTAGTAAAAATTTGTAGTAGTTCGGAGAACCGGTAATAACATTTGCTGGCCACGCCCCCGAACTGGTCCCCGGCCCGATCGCTGATCGCTTACCCTGCCCACCTCATCAGAGGCTTTTTTTTTAACTTTTAAAAGCATTTTTTCTACAATCTCTTCGGCCGAAAAAAATGCTTTTAAATGTAAAAAAAAAAAAACTCTGACGATCGTGCGTCTCAGCTGGGATCATCAGAGACTTCTGAAAGCATTTTTTCTGTAACCTCTTCGGCCGAAGAAGTTATAGAAAAAAAAAAAAAGCCTTTAAAAGCCTCTGGCAATCCCAGCTGAGTTGCCTGATTGTCAGAGGCTCCTGAAAGCATTTTTTTCTGCAACCTCTTAAGGTTGTAGAAAAAATGCTTTTAAAAGTTTAAAAAAAAAAAAAGTTGGCCACGCCCACCCAGTCACATTACCCCCCACCAAGCCACACCCACAAAATAAGCCACGCCCACAGAACCGGTAGTAAAAAAATTTAGAACCCACCCCTGTGGATGGGGATTTCTGGGAACATCTCAAACAGTAATATTTGTCCCTGTGGTTGTAAGAAGAGCCTTTCTAATGCAGGTCCCGTCTTAATTCATTCGGTCACTTCGCTCCTTTTAGCTTGGAAAAAAGATGGTTGAGACTTTGGGAAAAGTACAGAGAAAAGCAAATAAGATGATTAAAGGCCTGGGGAGAAAAACATACGAAGAAAGGTTTCAGGAACTGGGTGTAGCCAGACTAGAGAAAAGAAGGAGTAGGAGGAACATGAGAGTGGCATTCTAGTATTTGAGGGGCTGCCACAAAGAATAGGGGAGGGGGTCAAATTATTCTCCAAAGCACCGGAGGGCAGGACAAGAAACAATGGATGGAAACTAATCAAGGAGAGAAACAATCTGGAATGAAGGAGAAACTTCCTAACTGTGAAGACAGTGGAACAGCTTGCCACCAGAAGCTGTGGGTGCTCCATCACTAGAGGTTTTAAAGAAGAGACTGGACAGTCACTTGTCTGAAATAGTATAAGGCAATGATGGCTAACCTTTTTGCCATTGCGTGCCAGAAAGGGGGGGCAGGGGGGGTCACGTGCGCACGTGTCCACACCCATAATTCTATGTGACCAACCCACCCTGCTTCTGGCACGTTTTTCTTTCTCACCTGGCTCCAGGACCTCTCTAGGCATCTGGGGAGGGCGAAAACAGCCTTCCCCACCCCTCCGGAGGCCAAAAATGGCCCGTTTGACAACTTCCAGTCCCATCGGAAGCTGAGCTCACATGCGCACTGATATGGTTACCCATGCCACAGGTTCGCCATCATGGGTGTAGGCCCTATATCTGACTAAAGAGCTGTGCTTTAGCTGTGCTAAAGAGCTGCCTCCTGCCTTCCACGATCTCCAAAGTTCCTCCCCCATTGAATCATAGCTTTCTCCTGCCTTCCACAATCTCCAAAGTTCCTCCCCCATTGAATCCTACTTTTCTCCTGCCTTCCACGATCTCCAAAGTTCCTCCCCCATTGAATCATAGCTTTCTCCTGCCTTCCACAATCTCCAAAGTTCCTCCCCCATTGAATCCTACTTTTCTCCTGCCTTCCATGATCTCCAAAGTTCCTCCCCCATTGAGTGCCTCCAGCCTTCCAGTACTCCTCAGATCTTTGCAGTTTCTCCCCCCATCGCGTGTTAGCTTTCTCCTGCTTTCCTGCAGAGGCATCTGCAGAGGGTAGAACCTGCAGAGATCGGGGAATGCTCTGCCTCCGTGCATGCGCGGCAGAGACTGGAAGACCAGCTGGCTGATGGGAGGTGCGCGCATGTGCGGTGGACCTGGGCTGGGGCGACGGCTGGTGTGCCGGCAGAAGGGGCTCTCTGGAGGCCAAAAATGGCCCATTTGACAATTTCCAGTCCCATTGGAAGCTGAGCTCACATGCACACTGATGTGGTTACGCATGCCATAGGTTCGCCATCACGGGTATAGGGTCTCCTGCTTGAGCAGAGGGCTGGACTAGAAGACCTCCTAGGTCCCTTCCAGTTCTAATTTGATTGATTGAAGCTGGGCAAGAAGACTTCAGGCTCACCAGTTTGTCTCGCTCTCTCCTTTTGGGATTTGAAAGGAAGCCCAAGACGCATCAGCCAAATATGGTCATGTTTTAGAATAGCATTTCTCTAATTTAGCAACTTTAAACTGTACACACCAACTTCCAGAATTCCCCAGCCAGCATGCTACCATCTCACCATCAGGGAAACATCTCAAAGTCCTTTGTTCATAACCTTCATTGGCGATTAAGTGTCTTTACTGACATTTTTTTGGCCGTCTTCAAGGTTTCTTGATGGGCTCGAAAAGCACATAACAACCTGAGGCTTCTCCAAGGTTGGAACTATTTGCAGGTATTATCGTTCTGGCTGGAAATGTTAGGGTTTGTAGTCCCTCTGCCCTTGGAAACCCCCCTCCCCAAGTGAAATAAGATGACTGGACCCTGGAGGAGGGATTTGGGGTGACTTTTTTTTTTTTTAAACTGGTGCAATTAATTTTCTTTATACAGAAGATCAGGTTTTGTTTGCTTGCCATGGATTTTTAAAAATAAGGTAATAGTTATAAATAAAAAGTTGCTAAGCTATGTCACATCATCAAAATTGTTAGATGCAGAGTACTTAAAGCTCACTGTTTGGATGAATGAATCTGTTAGTTTGTTTTTGTTTTTTATTTTTTTTCTCTCTTGCACATTTAAATCTCTCTCTTCTCCCTGGATCATGAAGAAATTTAAAAATGTGAATTATTTTTTTTTAAATTTTTTATTGTATTTTTATTGTTAAAGAATAACAGAAAAAAAACAATACAAAAATCAATAGTAAAGAAAGAAAATTTTTTCCCCCCAACGTGCTATACAAATGGAAAGGAAGTTTTAGGAAATTAAAGTCTTCAATTCTTCCAGAAATCTCTTTGATAAGGTACTGGCGCCGATTCATCCAATCTCCCAAGTGCAAAGTCCACAAATGGTTGCCAAGTGTTCCAAAAAACATTCTCTTTGTATATACCACTTCTAATTTTAATATCACAAGTCAATTTATCATTTAATGCAAATTTCCATGTTTCATTATACCATTCTTCTAATTTTAAGTCAACATTTAATTTCCAATAATGTGAATTAAAAAAACAAAAACAAAAACCCTTAACAGGTCTGAATAATTTTGTTGCTTCATCTTGTTGCCAAGCTCAGCCTTTAGATCCTACTGAAGAGATGAGTCAATCAATTCAATAATAATAATAATAATAATAATAATAATAATAATAATAATAATAATAATAATAATAATAATTTTATTTCTATACCGCCCTTCTCCCGAAGAACTCAGGGCGGTGTACAGCCAATTTAAAAACACAAGACACAATTCCATGAGCTTTGTGCTACAACAGCTAGTGAATTTGAGCCTTTATCTGTCTACTCACCACTGCTGGAGGCCTCTGCGAGATAAAACATTCTAAAGTTTTCAGGGTGTTGGGGAATAGAATTTTTTTTTAAAAAAAATAATCTTTACATTTCAGTTAAAAAGAAAAGACAACACAACCTAAAGTGACGCACAAAAAACAATACAACTTGTTTTTGGGGTGACTTTCAATGTGTAACCTTTTGAATCATATCTTCTCTAATTCAGTGGAGTTGTGGATTTTCTTTCTTGAGTTTTAAATGGAGGCAGGCGCGACAGGCTGACAGCTGACCATGCTGTATTCTAGACTTAGCATGCCGGCTGGGGAATTCTGGGAGTTGAAGTTCAGCCTCAGTTGCCAAGTTGTCAAGGTTGAGAAACACTGCTTGTAACCTGATAAATGTTCATAAGTAGAGCTCTACAACCAGAATAATTGCAGGCTACTGTTTCATCAAGGTGAAATGCTCCCGGTTCGGACCGGATCGCCCGATCCGGTAGCGATGGAGGCGGGTGGTTTGGAGAACCGGTAGCAAAAATCCCTGTGCCCCCCCCCATGCCCAGCTGAGCCGCGCGATCATTAGAGGCTGGTTTTTTTTTTTTACTTTTAAAAGCATTTTTTTCTACAACCTCTTCGGCGAAAAAATGCTTTTAAAAGAAAAAAAAAAGCCTCTGATGATCGCGCGGCTCAGCTGGGATCGTCAGAGGCTTCTCAAAGCATTTTTTTTCTGCAACCTCTTCAGCTGAAGAGGTTATAGGAAAAAAAAATGCTTTTAAAAGCCTCTGGCGATCCCAGCTGAGTTGCCTGATCGTCAGAGGCTTCTAAAAGGATTTTTTTTCTGCAACCTCTTAAGATTGTAGAAAAAATGCTTTTAAAAGTAAAAAAAAAAAAAGTTGGCCACGCCCACCCAGTCACATTACCCCTCCCCACCAAGCCACGCCCACAGAACCAGTAGTAACAAATTTTAGATTTCAGCCCTGCCTCAAGCCATAGTTCACCTCGGTTTATGGCTGGCTGAGCACACACAATTGGTTGACTCTCCATGAAATTCTAAACTCAAATCAAGCATGTCCGGCAAAGTATGAATTGGAGTCCCTCAGCCGTCCACGCAAATATTGACTTGAGCTTCTGTGATCAAGATTGACCTCTAGAAAACTGGCTTTTAAAGCACTTTGTGGTTTTCCTAACATTCATTCCTGATCTTGCAGAGTGGGAGAAGGAAGAGCGTGCTGGAGTTTGGAGAATGCTTATGTTTCACTTGGGAAGTATGAACAGGCATTACACTTTGCAGAAAAACATCTCGAAATCTCCCAAGAGGTACTCAATCTTAAAATCTCTCTCTCTCTGTCTCACTCTCACTCTCTCTGTGTCTCTCTCTCTCTTTCCTTCTCTCTCTTTCTCTTTGTCTCTCTCTGTCTCTCTCTCTCTGTTTCTCTCCCTCTCTGTGTCTCTCTCTGTCTCTCCCTCCCTCCCCCTCTCTCTCCCTTCCTCCCTCTCTCTCTGTCTCTCTCTCTCTTTCTCTCCCTCCCTCCCTCTGTCTCTGCCTCTCTCCCCATCCCTCTCCCCTCCCCCTCTCCCTCTCTCTCTCCTCTCTCTCTCCCTCTCTCCCTCTCTCCCTCCCTCCCTCTCTGTCTCTCTGTCTCTCTGTCTCTCCCTGTCTCTCCCTCCCTCTCTCTCTGTCTCTCTCCCTCTCTCTCTCCCTCTCCCTCCCTCCCTCTCTCTGTCTCTCTGTCTCTCTCTGTCTCTCCCTCCCTCTCTCTCTGTCTCTCTCCCTCTCTCTCTCCCTCTCCCTCCCTCCCTCTCTGTCTCTCTGTCTCTCTGTCTCTCCCTCCCTCTCTCTGTCCCTCTCTCTCCCTCTCTCTCTCTGTCTCTCTCTCCCTCCTCCCTCTCTCTCTGTCTCTCTCTCTCTTTCTCTCCCTCCCTCTGTCTCTGTCTCTCTCCCCCTCCCTCCCCCTTTCCCTCTCTCTCTGCCTCTCTCTCCCTCCCTCTCTCTCTGTCTTTCTCTCTCTGTCTCTCTCCCTCCCTCCCTCTCTCTCTCTCCCTTCCTCTCTCTCTCTCTCTGTCTCCCTCCCTCTCTGTGTCTCTCTGTCTCTGACTTTTTGTCTCTCTCTCCCTCCCTCCCTCTCTCTTCCTCTCTCTCTCCCTCTCTCCCTGTGTCTCTGTCCATCACTCCCTCTCTCTCCTCCCTCCCTCTCTCCCTCTCTCTCTCCCTCTCTCTCTGTCTCTCTGCCTCTGTCTCTCCCTCCCTCTCTCTCTCTCTCTCTCCCTCTCCCTTACTCTCTCTCTCTCTCTGTCTCCCTCCCTCTGTGTCTCTCTGTCCTGACTTTGTCTCTTCTTCCTCCCTCTCTCTCCTTCTCTCTCTGTCTCTCTCTCTGTGTCTCTCTGTCCCTCCTCCCTCTCTGTGTGTGTCTCTCTCTGTCTCTCCTCCCTCCCCTCTGTCTCTGTCTCTTTCTCTGTCTCCCTCCCTCTTTGTCTCCCTCCCTCGCTCTCTGTCTCTCTCCCTTACTCTCTCTCTCTCTCTGTCTCCCTCCCTCTGTGTCTCTCTGTCTCTGACTCTTTGTCTCTTCTTCCTCTCTCTCTCTCCTCTCTCTCTGTCTCTCTCTCTGTGTCTCTCTGTCCCTCTCTCCCTCTCTGTGTGTGTCTCTCTCTGTCTCTCCCTCCCTCCCTCCCTCTGTCTCTGCCTCTTTCTCTGTCTCCCTCCCTCTTTGTCTCTCTCCCTCTCTCTCGCTCTCTGTCTCTCTCCCTTACTCTCTCTCTCTCTCTGTCTCCCTCCCTCTGTGTCTCTCTCCCTCTCTCTCGCTCTCTGTCTCTCTGTATCTGTCACTCTCTGTCTCTTTCTCTTTCTCTCCCTCCTTCTCTCTCTCTCTCTGTGTGTAAATACTACAAAATCTCCCTATGTTGCTGTTGGAATGTTTTTGTCACATGTCAAAAAGACATTTTTGCAGACTGAAAGAAAATCAAATCATGGTGTCCTATTTTGCACGATGTTGCTTGGTGACCAAAGCAGGAAACTGGTTTCTAAAGGGGACTTGAATGGAAAGAAGGAAGACAGATGTGGCCACAGACCTCATAACTGGAGAAAGGGAATTGGGGAGTGCTAGGAGGTGCAAAAATGGGGCTAGAGGCTGTTTTCAAAGGGGGACAGTATAGTACTAAATAGACATCGATTAGTATTTATCCCAATACCAAAGAAAGGCGATATTAAAGACTGTTCCAACCACCGAATCAAAGCCTTGATACCACCTGTGAGAAAAATTCTCTGGAAGATCATCAAGCAACATTTGAATCCAACTGCCAATAAGAAAATTTCAAGCTATTCTGCAAAGCACCTGAGGGCAGGACAAGAAGCAATGCGTGGAAACTAATCAATGAGAGAAGCAACTTAGAACTAAGAAAGAAATTTCCTGACAGTTAGAACAATTAATCAGTGGAAGAACTTGCCTCCAGAAGTTGTGAATGCTCCAACACTGGAAGTTTTTAAAAAGAAATTGGGCAAACATTTGTCTGAAGTGGTATAGGGTTTCCTGCCTAAGCAGGGGGTTGGACTAGAAGACCTCCAAGGTCCCTTCCAACTCTGTTATTCTATTGTCTATTGATTTTGGAAAGGAAGAGGAACACCAATCTACGTTGGTTGATGGAAAAAGCCAAAAAGACCCCTTCATGTGCTTCATTGACTAGACAAAAGCCTTTAATTGTGTAGACCAGGATTTCTCAACCTTCCTTGTTATAAGACGGATGGACTTCAACTCCCAGAATTGCCCAGCCAGCCGTGACTGACCGAATAGCTGGCAACGATGACGATTTAGCGTGGTTTTACTTGCAAAGTTGCTTTGGGAGGAAATGGGTTGACGGTCTGGTCCAAAGTTTTTAATTTCTGGGATGGAGTCAGTAGATCAACAAGAAGCAAGTCAGAAACGTTATAAATAAAATCCTAAAAGGAAACTAAATCAAGTCTAGCAGAGGCAGGCAAGTCAGCCTTGAAGTTTGAGGGCCAGAATCTTAGGATAAGGCATTTTAACGCCTGCTTCTCTCGCCCTAGAATTAAACTGTCAGCTGCTCCAGATAAATATTATTTGCTGGGTGCAATTTGGGCTTTGCACTTTGTGGCGGGCTGATTACTCAACTCCAGATGGGAAGGGAACAAAGGACGTTTCTGGGCAGGGGGGCGGCTGGCATTGTGGGAAGAGGGTCCCCCCTAATTACTGACTCAGAAGAGAGGGAACCGACAGGTTGTCTCCCATTTGGGGGGAATTATGGAGGCGGAAGATGTTCCTTCTGCGTCAAGATTCCTGGAAGAAGAATCTCTGCTCCGCGCGGGATTGTGCAAAATGCAAAGGAAGCTGAATCCTGGGATGAGTGAACTAGCATAGTTAAGTTGCATTAACAGAGGGATACAATCAAGATCAAATGAGGTGCTAATAATACTCTCTATAGAGCCTTAGTAAGACCACACCTGGAGTATTGTATCCAGTTTTGATCACCACACAATAAAAAAGAGGTTGAGACTCTAAAAAGAGTGCAGAGAAGAGCAACTGGGATGATGAGGGGACTGGAGGCTAAAACATACAATGAACGGTTGCAGGAACTGGGCATGGCTAGTCTAGTGAAGAGAAGAGAAGGACCAGGGGAGACAGGAGGGCAGTCTTCCAATATTGGAGGGGCTGCCCCAAAGAGGAGGGGGTCAAGCTATTCTCCAAAGCACCTGAAGGCCAGACAAGAAACAATGGATGGAAACTGATCAAGGAGAGATTCAACCTGGAAATAAGGAGAAAATTTCTGACAGTGAGAACAATCCATCAGTGGAACAGAAGTTGCCTTCAGAAGTTGTGGGAGCTTTCAAGAAGAGACTGGACTGCCATCTATCAGAAATGGTGTAGGGTTTCCTGCTTGGACGAAGGTTGGACTAGATGACCTATAAGGTCCCTTCCAACTCTGTTATTCTAATTCTAAAATAGTTGAATGTTAGGTTGGGAGATATCTTGGATATCACCTTACCCAGTGTTTCTCAACTCTGGCCACGACTGGTAGTGGACTTCAAGTACCAGAAGTCTTCGGTCAGCACGCTGGCAGGGAATTCTGGGAGCTGAAGTCCACAGAACATTGGGAAACGCTGTTCTTCTTCAATCCTCTGACCTGAGCATGAATCCATCATGGATTCCATCACATCCCTCCTCAGCTGAGACACTTCATCTGTTGGGAATCCACCTTTTTTTTTTGTGCTCAAACAGTCTGTTCTGCTCTTAGAGCATTTTTAAATAATTCAAAAGAGCCTATTTTTAAAGCAAAGTCAAAGGATTTCTGCAAGAACAGCTCTGTGAAGGCTGAAGAGGGGCCGATAAATCTTGAGCTTCTAAGAATTAACGAACCAGTTAACAATTCCATTAGCCGTCACCTAAGGGTGCCAGCGGACTTTCTAATTTAGGAAAGGTCAAGCAAAGGAGGGCACAACACAAAACACACCGGCACCGAAGAAATTTAATAAAACAGAGTGACAGAGTTGGAAGGGGCCTTGGAGGTCTTCTAGTCCAACCCCCTGTTCCAGCAGGAGACTCTATACTGGGTTGGACTAGAAGACTCCAAACTCCCTTCCAGCTCTATTCTGATTATTATCTTCTCCAATTGGTGTGGCCCGTCAGCGACCTGTGCAGCTAGTAGCTGATTCCGACAGCAAGGAGACTGATGTGGTGCTGCACCAGCAGCCTGTGCAGCTGGCACTCGAGTCAGACAATGAGGAGGCTGGAGAAGATGTAGTGCCAGAGGCGGGGATTCAGCCAGGGCCTTCAGAACCTCCAGAAGCTCCCATAAGTGAAGAGAACGAAGTGGAGGAGCCTCTTCTCGATGCACAGGCGCGCAGAGCTGCCAAAAGGCAGGAGTGGCTCCTCAGGAGGAGGTCTCCTCGAGAGTAAGGCTTGGGGCAAATTGGCCACTCCCTTAGCCTATTTAAGGAGGAAGGCCGACTGAAGCAATTTGCAGGGAACAACTTCGTTCACTCTCCTTCGCGTCTTGATCTTAGTTCTCTGCAAATTGCTTCTGGGCTTTCTGCCAACCATAGTAAGATTACGGTTATTTATTCTTTGGATTCTTGTTGGCTGTTAAGAAAGTTAATTAACAGCCTTTGTTTGAAAAAGACTGATTTAATTTAGTAAACTAAGTTTTGTACAGACTTTGTGTGTGCTGCGTTCTTTGGGGTCCATAGCTGGGGCAGAACACCAAAATTGTTTGCTAGTCTGGTCTGGCCTAGTCTTTAGAAAAGAATAACAGAGTTAGAAGGGACCTTGGAGGTCTTCTAGTCCAACCCCCTGCTTAGGCAAGAAACTGGTCTGATTGGTCTGGTCTGGTCTGATTTACCCTATCCTATCCTACCCTAGTCTATCCTATTTGGCCCTAAATTTCCAACTAACAGATTTCATTTAAAGGCTTACACTCCGAAAGGCTTAGTGATTTACATAAAATTTGCTAGTGTTGTGGCTCCGTTGCCTGAGCCTGGGCTATCGACAGATGCAGACTCTGAGAATGAGGGAGAGGAGTTGGCAAGGCCTCCCTCTCCAGGACCCTCCTCTCTGGCAATGCCTCCGGAGGACACCGAAGGCCAAGAGATAGGCCCAGAGCCAAGCATGTCCCTGCAGCCACAGGTGGACAGCGATGAAGTAGATAAGTGCTGGCTGGATCCTCGGCAGCAGCGCAGGGAGAAGCGTGCGCAGCAGAGGGAAAGGTGTGCCAGAGATTAGCTGAGTCACTGGACCACACCCCACAGGGTATAAATGGCCGGTTCAGTTTGTGACGAGCAAAAACTAGAAATAATCCATTATCTCTGCATTACTGGACTTCTGCCTGCCTTGTCGGACTGCATTTGGACTAATCCTTGTATTGTTGAAACTTTGCCTGCTTTATCGGAATGCTTGCAGTCTAATCTTTGTTTTGTGTGAGTAAAGTCTGAATTGGCAGCTAGCCACTGGGTTGCTGCCAGCTTTATCTTCAAAGATTTTGTCGTGTGGCTTATTAACTCTGGGCCGTCTGTGGGGGTGCGTGAGTGGAACGGGGACAGAACAGCTAGCTGGAAAAGCTGTTACCAGATTCCTTGCAATTTTCAGGGAAAATGGGCAATAGAATTGGGCATGGCGGTGCAGGAGGCAACAAGGAACATGAAAAAGCATCTCTGGAAATAACTACCCTGTTTCCCCAAAAATAAGACATCCCCTGATAATAAGCCCAATTGGGCTTTCCCGGAAAATAAGCCCTCCACAAAAATATTTAAACACATGTGCAGCCAGTCCCCGCCATTTCCTCTGGTTAGGGTTAGGGAGACAGAACTAGAAATCAGGTAAGGCGGCAAGAGGATTCCCGTCTTGCTCCATGCGCCCCCAAATAATAAGACTTCCCCAAAAATAAGGCTTATTTCGGGGTTAAAAAAAATAGGACAAGGTCTTATTTTTGGGGAAACATGGTAGGACTCTTCTACATGGTAGCTGAATCTTCCACAATAGATACCCCCCGCCCATTTGAAGTGGGGATAAAGTCCTGCAAGCTGATTTGTCCTTTCTTTAGGCTAATCAGAGTTGGAAGGGACCTTATGGGTCATCTAATCCAACCCCCCCGTCCAAGCAGGAGACCCTACACCATTTCTGACAGATGGCAGTCCAGTCTCTTCTTGAAAGCTTCCAGTGATGAAGTTCCCACAACCTCTGAAGGCAACTTCTGGGTTGATTGCTCTCACTGTCAGGAAATTTCTCCTTAGTTCTAAGTTGCTTCTCTCCTTTATAAATTTTAATTTACAAAAATTAAATGCCCAGCGAGCATGGCATGGGCATTCTTCGAAAATAAAAAGGATGGGTTGGCTCACAAGGCTCTTTCAGGAATGAATAACGGGCATTGGAAATTCACTTTTGCAAGCTACTGTAAAAGCAGGCATCCATTTTTTAAAATCAAATAACTATGGTAGTTGCTCCTTTGCAGATTGGGGACCCCACTGGCGAGGTGACAGCATGCACAAGCATTGAACAGCTGCGATCGACGTTGGGCTCGGAGCAGAGCAGTGAGGGGACTGATGCCTCGGTTTCTGCCGGATATGAAATCCAAGGTAAGTTGTGTTCTTCCAGGATCTTTTCTTTTTGTCCTTCCAATTTGTTCTCTGCCTTCTCTTGGTCTGGCAAACAGCAAAACTGGTCAAGGAAACCAGTTGGGAAAAGCTGTTTTGTGGACTGGCTAAGATGTTCAGAGCAGATTATTTTTCCTTCGTTCATTAATCTGTTCTGTCCTCCGGTAGACAGTTCGCCTGTTTCTCTGGGGCAAAAGTAGGTTTTTTTAAAAACACAAATTGCATTTGGTGGAGGAGGTGATTAAGAGCTGCCATGGAGATGGGGAAAGATTTTCTGTTTGCCTCCATGCAAAAAAAAATAACAGGTACGACGTTGGAACAGAGATTGGGGGATTGCCAGAGATCATGTGATGCAAGCATGGTTAGTCCTCAATGCTTTGAAGTTATAACAGTGTGTGTGTGTGGGGGGGAGAAATGACTTATGACTGCTGCTCACACTTATGACCATCACAATGTCCCCGCAGTCATGGGTTCCGACAGATGCCCTAATTAAACCATGAGCCTTGAGCCAAGTTTCAAAATAAATCCAGTTATTTATTAGGAGCAACATGTCAGCATGTACCCAAGTGAAGTCAGCTCTGCCCCATGTAATTTACGGCCCAACTATGACCCTGTTTCCCCCGCTCCTCCCAGGGTGTGTCATAAATCACATTCTCCAACGGAGCACTTTTGCGGGCTGTAGAGATCATGTCTCTCCCCGGCTGGTTTCTGGTAATCTGGGATACAGCCTTGAGAAAGGTATGCGTGGAATGTGCTTCTGGTTGTAGCTGCCATGCTGCTCCGTCAGTTTCGCCCCCTCCTGCCTATGGCAACTCGAGAGCAGGCCAAGGATGCTTTACGAGTTGACAATGTGATTGTGATTTGGGTGCTTGGCAACCATCAGACATTTATGACGGTTGCAGTTCATAAATGGTCACTTGGTCACCATCTGTGACCTTCCCAGATGACTTCCAACAAGGGAAGTCAATGAGGTGTCAGCCATCCCATTTGGCATATTCAGCAAAAGAAACTCTTTCGATGAACCAACAGTGTAACTTTATTGAAAGATCCATCCAGGCCAGGGGGATCAAAATCAAGGCCTACGGGCCAGATCCAGCCTGTGAAGTGCTTAGATCTGGTTGCCCTGGAAACAGCAAAGGACCGGCCCACTGTGCCTCTGACAGCGTACGTCGCCCCCCCCCCCACCGCCCCAAGCTTCATTTTCGCTGGCAGAGGGCTAGCAAAACAAACTAAAAAGAAAACAAAAGGAGAAATGTTTCCCCTTTTGCATTTGAGCATGCAAGAAGGGACAGGAAAGGAGAAAGGGAAAGAGGAAAAAACAAAGAAAAAGAAGGGAAGATGGGAAGAGAGCAAGGAAGGAAAAATAAGGAAAGTGGGGAAGGAAGAAGAAAGGAGAATGAAGAGGGGAGGAAAAAGAAGAAGAGGGAGGGAGGAAGGAAGGAAATGAGAATGAGAGGAAGGAAGGAAATGAGAATGAGAGGAAGGAAGGAAATGAGAATGAGAGGAAGGAAGGAAAGGAAGGAAGGAAAGAAGGAAAGGAGGAAGGAAGGAAGGAAAGAAGGAAGGAAGGAAGGAAAGAAGGAAGGAAGGAAAGAAGGAAGGAAGGAAGGAAAGAAGGAAGGAAGGAAGGAAGGAAGGAAAGAAGGAAGGAAGGAAGGAAGGAAAGAAGGAAGGAAGAAAGGAAGGAAAGGAAGGAAGGAAAGAAGGAAAGGAAGGAAGGAAGGATGGAAGGAAGGAAGGAAGGATGGATGGATGGAAGGAAGGAAGGAAGGAAGGAAGGAAGGAAGGAAGGAAGGAAGGAAGGTTATAATGAGAGGGAGGGAAGTCCTGCCTTAGCACTTGGCCACTACAGGTGCCCCTGACACGAGTGACCTTGAGCTGGCCACTCCCCCCGCCCCCCCGAGGTCAAACACAATCCTAATGTGACCCTCAATGTAATCGAGTTTGACACCCCTCGTGTAGGCACAGCAGAAGCAAAGTCATTTCTGGGATTTTTCTGCCAAAACCCACATAGGTAACTCCCTTTTTCTCTTCCGGGCCATCCACAGTTCATAATCCACCAATTGAGTGCAGTTCTTTTGTTTTGGGAAAAACTGTCTGTGCCGCTCAAACATTCTTCATAACTTGACCTTGGTGGATAATGTCTCAATGGCAACCGAAGGCTCTCGTGAATTCCACAGACTCCCTCCACCCTTAGGAATTCACCATCCTCCTCCCGTCACTGTTTGGCAAAACTGAAAGCGAAACTATGGAGTCGAGTCGGACTTGACATGGGGAAGCTGGCAGAGAAGTCATGGTCACACGATGTCTCACTTAACAACCGTGGTAGTTTGTTTAACGACTGCCGCAAAAAGATTATAAAATTGGGTGCAGTTGTGCAATGCCTTGCTTAATGACCACTTTCCTCAAACATAAATATTAGTACCGCTTTGACTTACAACCGTTCGTTTAGTGAACCCTCGAAGTTATACAAACGCACTGAAAAAATGACTTATGACCATTTTTCACACTTACGACCATTACAGCATTCCCCGCATGATTTACATTTGGCAACTGACTCACATTTATGATGGTCACAGTGTCCCGGGGTCACGTGACCCCCTTTTGCGACCGTCTGACAAGCAAAGTCCACGGGGAAACCAGATTCACTTACGAATTTAAAGGCTGCAGTGAGTCACTTCACAAAGGCATTGAGAAAAGTTGTAAAATAGGGCAAAACTGACTGAACAAATTTCTCGCTGAAGAACATAAATGTTGGGCTCAATTGCAGTCGTAAGTCAGGGACTACCTGAATAATTTTAGGGTTCTGCAACAATTGGAACCCAAGGCTGGATGAAGGATGCTTATCTATCCTTCCAACCAGCCAGCCTCTTTTTTCCTGAATCTCTGGAGCATTAAATCCTGATCTCTCTGTGTAATTACAGGAGAAAGTTGTCAGGAACAAGAACACAGTTTAAGTAAGTGCTGCTGTCGTTCTTTTAAAGCTTTAATGGGGCCATAATAGTCTCTCACGCATCAGCATAGCATCATTCTCAAGGTCAAATGCATCCAATTGCGGAGGACCAAATAAATTTAAAAGGAAAAAAAAAGAAGTGTTTGTATGGAATAAAACAGGCCCATGGCTGAGTGAAGTCAGGATAGCACCATTCTTCCCACAACCCTTTAAAAAACTTTTAAGGAGCGTAGATATCTCTCCACCATTGCATTGGCTCGCTCCGCCGCCCCATTGGTACTTGGATGGAACGCAGAACTAAGTCCTTGATCGGTTCCTATTTGTCGTAGGAACAGTTTCCAGAATCGGGCAGTAAAAAACTTTTTTTTTAAAAGTGGAGAAGAGACTTTTTAACAGTTTAACAGAGTTGGAAGGGACCTTGTAGGTCATGTAGTCCAACCCCCCGCCCAAGCAGGAGTCCCTACACCATTTCTGACAGATGGCAGTCCAGTTTCTTCTTGAAAGCTTCCAGTGATGAAGCTCCCACAACTTCTGAAGGCAACTTCTGTTCCACTGATGGATTGTTCTTACTGTCACTGGTTTTGCCAAAAGCCGGCATTTACTTTCTGTTTTTGGCAAAACTGGCCCATAAAGAATCATTGGTTCACTTAACAACTGTGAAGTTTACTTAAACAACCATCACAAAAAAAGAGTCTGAAATTGGATCAGTCATGTGGGTGATCCATTTGTGGCCATCACAGCTTTCAACCCTAATGGGCAGTCTGCTCGTAAGTCACCTATACATAGAATTCTGATCAAGCTTCTCTCTCAAAGATTTCATCCTAATTCTTTTTTTTAAATAGATTTTTCAAAAATGTATTTAATGACCCACATAATCCCTTGTGGGGTGGAGTCTGGGCAAATGAATGGAGCTAGCAGAGCGTTTTAATGGCCAGATGCCATTCCTGTCGCCAATGCGGAGTTATGTTCAGCAGATATATTCTCAGTGCGCCCAGAGAGAGAAATAGCTGCCTCTACCTAGGATCGAACTCACAGCCTCCTGATTGTGAGGCGAGAGCTCCAACCTCTAGGCCACCACACCACTCTTATTGAAAGCTTTATAAGGAGCATAAAAAATAATACAAACTAATAAGAAAAAACAGACAAGGAAGGAAAAAGAAGGGGGAAAAAAGGCAGGAAGGAAGAATTAAAAAGCAATCGAAAGAAGAATGTTCCTTTTTCCTTTTCAGCAAATACAACGTTATTGTGAAGTTTCCGAAAGATGCCCTAATTAATTCATGAGCCGTGAGCCGAACTTCAAAAGAAATACAGTCATTTATTAGGAGCACCATTTCGGCAATATTCGGATGCAGTTAGAACTAATCTCACTTAGATTTACGTTCCCCTATGACCCTGTCTCTCCCCTCCTCTCTGGCCATGTCATAAATCACATTCTTCAATTAACCACTTTGGCTGGCTGTGAAATCCAACACCCTCCTTCTGATTGCGGTCAGGAAGAATGTATGGAATGCACTTCAGTTAGGAAAATCAATCAGCTCTATCAGTTCTCCCTCCCTCCTGCTCATGGCAATTTGAAAGCTTTGCAAGTTGACAGTTATCTCCTTACTCTATGATTACAAAAGAAAACTTTTTTCCTATTATCCAAGTTTTTTTCTTCCCCTAACCATCAAAACCCCCAAATCATAATTCCCTTCTTTTTATAACATATTCTTTCTTTTATATATATATATACATATAATTTTATTCATAAACATTTTTGAATACAGTGTATTGTCAGCGTATACCATTTACAAGAAAAAAAGGCCAAATAGAAAATAGTAATAAACATTAACACATGAACTGATAACAGTAATAATAATATAATAACACATGTACTGAGAATAATAGTAATATTATATCCAAATAATTTTAACTAAGTTTCTTTTTATATTGGCTTATTTACATTTTTGGTGATTATGGTGATCTGAGAATATCATTCTCAGAGATTCTTCCCATCCTGCCTATAATCTTTTTGGACTGTTGCCTTCTG